TTCATTCGTGATCGTATGCCTATATGTGGACGACATGTTGATCTTGGGAAAGAATAATGGTTTAATTCTCAATACCAAGAAAATGCTGAAAAATTATTTCGACATAAAGGATATGGGAAAAGCCGATGTAATATTAGGTATTAAAATCTCTAAATGTTCGAAAGGTATTGTTTTGTCACAATCCCATTATGTCGAAAACATCTTGAAGAGGTTCAATGCATTCGCTAAGCCTCCAGCTAAGATGCATGTTGATTTAACTCAACACTTAGCTAAAAATCGAGGTGAACCAGTATCTCAACTAGAATACTCACGAGTAATTGGGAGCTTGATGTACTTAATGAATTGTACTCGCCCTGATATAGCACATTCGGTGAGTAAACTAAGTAGGTTCACGAGTAACCCGAGCAATGACCATTGGAATGCACTTATTCGGGTACTTAGGTATTTGAAACATACCTTGAATTTTGGAATAACATATACGAGATATCCAACGGTACTTGAAGGGTATTGCGATGCGAATTGGATATCCGACACAAAAGACTCCAAGTCCACTAGTGGTTTTGTGTTCACTATAGGTGGAGGAGCGGTGTCATGGAAATCGTCTAAGCAAACGTGTATTGCTAAATCCACGATGGAGTCCGAGTTTATATCCTTGGACAAAGCCAGGGAAGAAGTTGAATGGCTTAGGAATTTCCTTGAAGATATTCCATGCTGGACAAAATCGGTGCCCGCTGTAATGATACATTGTGATAATCAATCGAAAATTGGAAGGGCACAAAGTAGCTTGTACAATGGTAAGTCTCGACATATACGTCGAAGGCATAATACAATAAGACAAATGATCTTGAGTGGGGTTATTTCGGTTGACTACGTGAAGTCAAAGGAAAACCTAGCGGATCCGCTTACTAAAGGCATTAATCGAGATCAAATGTACAAGTTGGTTAGGGGAATGAGATTAAAATCCACAACATAAGAACAGTCTTAGCGTAACCCAACCTTGAGAATCGGAGATCCCGAAACCTTGGTTCAATGGAAAAATTAAGTTTTGACAGTTCAGTGAAACACTTGAAAGTTTCACCCATTCCCAAGAACCATCAAGTGTTAAAATCTGCCTAAGTGGTGAGGTTAAGTCAAGGACTTTTAATGATTCCTACACCTACAGGTAGAGTAAGGCAGAATACTCTTTATAGGAGAATCACCTTTGTAAGTGAGAAGTAAATTGGCCGCTTCAACGAACACTTACTAAACCGAGATATGGTCCAAGGCCGAAATGGACACAACGTGAGAATAAGAAATTGTTAGAGTTATTATTGTGTGAGTATTATTGTCTTGGTGCACACAAACAGCCGATAAGTTCAAAGTATCGCGCTACTAACCGACTAGTGTATCCGATAGTATTTCACTAAGGAAGATTCAAAGCCACAAGCTATCTATCCTGATGCAATGATGATTCGCCGAAACTCTCAAGTATTGCATACATTCATTAATTTCATTCATGTGGGGGATTGTAAGGAAAAATTGGTTTTGTACCAACTTAATGGCTCCACTTTTAGTTAGTGGAAGATTTAGAAAATTCTCAAAACCATTTTAAGGTGAATGAGAAATTAATTCTAAGTGTTATATATCGAACAATTAAATTTAAGTAATTCAAATGTTGTAAGGTTCACAAAACATTCAAGTTTGACTAATATTTGGACAAACTAAACGAGTCATAATCTTGCATTAAGTATGCTAGAATTGTGGAAGGACTCGTTGGGGACAAGTAGGAAAAAACGGAACTAAATTCCGAGTCCGAACGAATGCGTACGAACTTTCGGAGCGCAAATGCGCGCCAGGCCCCGTCGCGGGCGCGACGACCGTCACGGGCGCGACACTCTGTGCACAAGACCCGTCGCGCGCGCGCGAGCGCGGGCGCGAAAGTCTACTTTGTCGGAGCTTCTGTCCTACGCGACAAGGCGTCGCGGGCGCGGCGAGCTTGCGACACTGACGCACATGTTCGTATTGTAATGGTTTCTAACCAGTTTTAATCGACCGTACACGTCTCAAAAGGTGTCTTTTGGTGCCTTGAACCTCCTGGAGATGTGTTATAACATCTATAAATACCCATGAAGTGAAATAGTCATGACATGAAATATTTTCATAACCTTTGCATCCTTTTATAAAGTTCATATTCATATTGTGTTCTTTGTTCTTTCTTTCCTAACTTGCGAGTTCAAAACATAAGTATTGTTCGCCGAAGGTTTGTGTATTTGAGTTACCACTATACACAAATCGAAAGTCGTTGTATCTTGGAGGCATTAGCCGTGAACCGTGGGTAATATACGGGGCTATTTCGTCTTAAGGAGAGCGTATCTTACGTGCCTCGACTTTGTTCGTTTAACCAAAATTTCTTCTATTTCTTAAAGCCATTTTTCTTGAAATTCACATACCAAAATATAAATTACAAAAACATAAACACATAAAATTGTGAAAATCAATCCTCCCAACATCAGAAGCATCCCCACACGCGGTGAAGGAGACAGTCCACAATTAAGATCTAGTTCTCGTCTCTGGCATACTAAACTTAATGTTGACCGAAAGCTTGTGCTGAAGAAGCTTCAATTCCATAACAACTCAAAGGTTTGTGGCTACAAAAGAACCCGCAATAAAGGTGGCCAAGAAATGGCCGGCACAACCTCTTTCGATGACGTCGACAAAATCCCCACGACAAAAAAGCGAACACGGCGAAAGAAGTCCAACACTTCCGCAAAAAGAAAAACTCGAGCAAGATTTTGATTTTATAGAAGAAGAATTTGACATGAATGAGAGGGAAATTAACGAAGATGTCGTTGAAACTGATGATCCAACTGAAAAAGAAAAAGAAAAAGAAAAGCGAATGACAAAATCGACTAGGTCGGCAATTATGAGAAAAATAGATCAAGGCTTAACGGCGAACCCCAAAATCTTGTGCAAGACGAGCAACATAATATTTTTCAGTATATGCTGCATTTGCAGCCAGTATATTTTCAGTATATGTTGCGTTTTTATTAAATAACATTTACCTAACAATTGTGATGTCTGACTTTTGTCTTTATTTTTTGTTTATATTTTCTATTTAATTTTATATCTACGATCTATAAAACCATTATATGTAAAACACTTTATAAGTGCTTTTGATGATGTAAAAAAAAAAAAAAATTATACATATTAGATTACTTTTTTTTTTTGTTCAATCACAATTCGATTTCTACTTGGATTACAATTTTATTTTTGTCCAACCACAATTCAATTTCTACTTGGATTACAATTTTTTTTTTTAAGTCTCTAATGCAATCCATAAGGATTTGAATGGATTATAATAAGTAATATTAAACCTAAATTTGACTGGAAGCTTTTGCAGAAAAAACTTCAATTCAATAAAAATGAGTGCAAAAAAGTACATAAAAATGTGGCGAAGAAAAGGTGGGTGCAAACACTTCTGGTGACATCGACGAAATCCCCCGACAAAAATGCGAACACGACAGAAGAAGAAGTCCAACGCTTTCGCAAAAAGAAAAACCCAACCAAGATTCTGATTTTGTTGAAGAAGAAGAATTTGACATGGACGAAATGGAAATTGACGAAGATGTCGATGAAAGCGATGAACTTTCTCATCAATCATCTAATTAAGAGATTAAAACATGAATATTATAACACACAAACATCTTACCAATCTTTGGAACTCCTTTAAGCTAGATATCATCACCGGAAACCTCATTCTCCTTTACTCCATATTATCTTAGAATTGCTCGAAAATGAAGTTATGTAGAGAAACTTTGAGTGATTTCAACGAAAAACGGATATCTTACTTGTTGTTAGCCAAATAGAACTGAGAACTACCGAAAAATTATGAATCCCACTTGATCAACTTGCCAAGTCTAATTTTAATTGATCAAAATATTACAACCAAGTCTAAATTTAATTAATTTATTTTTTATTTCGTGTCTTGATACGTGTCAATACACTATTTGTGAATATATGTTGATGACTCCATAAGTCGTGCCGTTGTGTTTCATATGTTAAAATATCCCTGATGTAAAAGTGTAAACTAGTTTGATTGGGAGAATTTGATGATACATATATACAATAATCCAAATAACCCGACGAATTGTAATTTGTATGTATATATACATGCGTAGATGTAGTTTATTCAGAATGGGCGAAATTATCGTAATAATAATAACGATAGCGGCGAGTACCAGAAGAAGAAGAAGATGAGGCGCCGCCGTCGGAGTCGTGATCGGAATCGTAGTAGCGGTGGTCGTAAGGGTACGGAGAGACGCAGAGATAAGTCCAGACGAAAAGCGCCCATCGGCCGATCTGCTGCAGAGGGAAACAGAGCACCAAATCCAGAAGCTCTTGGCTGCTTATCCGCTCCGACAGGCACGCCAGCCGCTGCCAAACCGCCGCCGATATGTTCGCCGTTGACGCCACCAATACGCTGTTGAATGGCATTTTGCTTCATAAAGATAATTGATTGATGTGGGAATTAATTAAGGGAAAGAACCACGACTATGAATCATCATTAATAATTTATTATTATTATTTTGCTTCTCTTTGGAGAGTGGCTGAAAATGAAAGAGGCCAACAATTATTGGGTGCCAACTGACAGCTCACCACTTGGTTTAATTTACTTACTCACCTTTTTTTTTTT